TTTATGTAGTTATAATTTATAATAAATAATTATTTTTGAATATTTAAGTTACACAATAATTAAAATTTATAATAAATAAATACTTTAAAATATATAAATTATATTTTAGATTTATAATAAATAATTTATGTTGTAATACAAAATTATAACATAATTTAGTTTGAAGTGATTTTAAAAATTGTGTAAAATTTAAATTACGCAGAGAAAATAATTCATTTTTTTCAAAAGAAATTCTTAAATTTTTTAACTATGATATACTATTTTTATTTATAAATTCAAATATTTAAAATAATTATTTATTATAAATCATAACTCTATAAAATAAATAGACTGAAATGCTAATTAATTTTTAATATTATATCATCTTTCCATATCAATCATTATAATTATCTTAAATGTTACTATTTTTGAATAGTTATTTACGTGTAGATAATATAGTCATAAAAATATTTTATACGTTGATTTAAATTAATAAGATAAAATATTAAATAATTTTAATTTTTTTAAAGATTTATAAATTTAATTTATGCATTAATAATTTTGAATTTAACAGTTGAATTAATAAAATTTAATGTAAAATATGAATTATTGAATTAAGTAAGTATAAGTAGATTTATTTTTGAAATAAATGAGAAAAAAATCAAAGATTTTACTTAATCGTTTATATTGAAAATTCTATTTGTTTATTTCGTACTTTTCACTCAATGATAAAATAGATAAGATTTTACAGGATCAAATTTTGTAAGAGTTAAAATATGATGGAAGAAATTAAAAAAAAAAAAAAAGTAAATAAAAATGCATAGAATAGGATATTTAAAAGAAAGTGAGCTTTAAATGCATATTTATTATTAGATATTAAAGAAAGGACAATGAATTTTAATGATATCATTAATAAGTATTTAAATTCATGCATTCATATCGCTTATAATTTCCTCTTTTTTTATATTATAAAACATAATTTAGAATGAATTGGTGATACTTTTTATAAGGTACTCTATAATTTTTATAAAATATAAATTTTAGTTCTCATTTTTGTCCCTATTAAATATTGTGAGAATGTGTTTTTTTCTCTTACCTTTTAAACTCTCAAATTGCCATTTATCATCTTTATTAATATAGAAAAATAATCTTTATATTCTCATTGAAATTCAATGATAAGTAAGAAAAGTAAAATTAGTAAATCATGATTTTATTTTATAAATACAATAAAATCGATTAAGATAATTCATAATAGTACTATAATTTAAAAAATAAATTGAATTCAGTCTCATCCTAAACTAACATGTTAGGTGTAAAATTGTTACTATTTTTTTTCTTATATATAAGACTCAATTATCTAATTCACTAACATTAAAAAAATACTTTATTTAGTTTAAAAAGCTTCCTATGTGTAAGTTTTCAACCCATTGCTTCTTCTTAAAATATTTCCCCTGTCTCTCTTTCTTTCTCTCAACCTTGAGTGCTCTTTAATACTCAAAGTCTAGAATAATTTGTTTTTTCTCGTAATTAACTAGAGTGCATATTCTTTAAAAAAACTTATAATTGATATATTTCACGAAATTAATATAACATGCTTTAATTAAGGTTATTTTAATTTAAAAATATTTGATGTATAAAATTTTTTTGTCTTATAAAATAATAAGTAATTATTTTAAGTTAGAACTTATAAATAATAACGGAGGTAGTATTTATTATAATTTTTTTTTCATTTATTTGAAAGACATGGTACAATTGGATTATAAAAAGAGTATATCCTTATACATGACTACACAATCCTTGTGTTTAATTAGGCCTAATCAAAGAAATCTAGCCCACCTAAAAATCGAGCATTTTGAACCCAATTTGAGTAAGGCGGATGACTTTTATCGAGTGCTCAGTTTTCTCGGGTACAATCGGCTTAAAGCAGTTAGACTCTATTTAGGAATTTATTCATCCAACGTATCCGAACACGATCAATTATAACTAGAGTTAATCACTTATATATTATTAAGGTAAAAAATTATACATTGACAACCAATTATATATTTTAATTGTGTCATATTATTGTAAACACATTTACTTTTAACAGTGACATAACACAATTAAAATATATAATTAATTGTCAATGTAAAAAAACTTTACGTTAACAATGTATAGGTGATTAACTCTTATAACTATCTTAAAATAAAATAATCTAGCTATAAAAGCTTCCTATGTGTAAGTTTCTAATCCTGGCACACTGCTTCTTGATATGTTCCCCCTCTTTCTCTTTCTTACTCTCAATCTTGAGTGGTCTCTAATACTCAAAGCATGGAATAATTTGTTCTTTCTCTCAAGCTATGCATCATTCTTGCTTGTTCTTCGGTGTATCGGAATGCCAAAGGGTAGAATTAGTGTTTATTGGAGGCATAGAGCCCCAAGGGTTAGGGTTATAATCTATTTTCACATTGCGTTGCAATGAAATAAAAGACAATGGCTTGAAGTTGCCTACAATGGCAACAACAATGTCAACAAATCCAAGTAATATTTGTCTTTACTTTACACTAGTTTCCCTTCTGCCTTTCTTCTTTTTTTATATTTAAGATTATATTATGTATCAACAATATATTCAAATGTCATTTTCTGTCACATCCAATTTATATAACTAGAGACAATGTGTCCTTATAGTCCATGTAAGGTGCATTCAACTCTGGCATAGTCTCCATTTTCTCCGAGACTTCCCAACACAGGATTCACCAAACACGTCCCAAAGGGGGTTACGGTTTCAACATTCTTCATGCAATATATACTTTTTAACATATTAATTTGAATTTTTTTTCTTGAACTGACCTAATGTCATGACTAGGTCCAAAAAAACATCAGTTAATAGCAATGCAGTCGTTAGATGTAATAAATAATAATTAAGGAAAATGAGCAAATTTGAGAAATTTAATTGACCAAAGTTTTAATTTAAATAATAAAAAATCAAAAGGGTAATTTAGGAAAAAAAATAGTGGTGTTTGGTTTGTTAATAGTTAATAGAGAGAAAGGAAGAGTGAAGTGAAGGTGTTAGCGAAAGAGTAAGAGGAAAATTGGTATGCAGAGAGAAATGGAGGGATCAGGTTCAGGTTCAGGTTCAGGTGTAGGTCCGGCACCGTTCCTACTGAAAACGTACGAGATGGTGGATGATTCATCGACGGCGGAGATAGTTTCATGGAGCTCTGCCAACAACAGCTTCATCGTTTGGAACCCCGCGGATTTCTCTCGCCTTCTTCTTCCCACCTTCTTCAAGCACAACAACTTCACCAGCTTCATCCGTCAGCTTAATACCTATGTACCGTAACCCTTTCTCTTCCCTTATAATTCTTTCAAACTATCCATTATTGTTTATCAAACCCTAGCTTCAGTACATGTTGTATTATTCTATTATTGTTTTGTATCAACCTAAACAAAATTACTCATCCCTATTGTCAGGGATTTCGAAAAGTGCACCCTGAGCGATGGGAGTTTGCCAATGAGGATTTTGTGAGGGATCAGAAGCATCTTCTTAAGAATATTCACCGCAGGAAACCCATCCACAGTCACACTCACCCTGTTGCCGATCCAGAAAGGTTGGCATTCGAGGAAGAAATTGAAAAGCTTTCGCACGACAAAACCACCATTCAGTCTAGTATTTTTCGCTTCGAACAGCACCACTCTGCTGCTAAGACTCATCTTGAAGATCTACAGCACCGCTTGGATGGCATGGAGGAGAGGCAGACCACTTTGCTCAACTACTTTGAGAAGGCTCTTCGCAACCCCACAATTGTTCAGCAAATTTCTCGCAGAATTGAGTCCTTGGATTTGTTGGCTTATAACAAGAAAAGGAGATTACCTCAGGTTGATGACCATGACCATCCCTTGCACCATCCTGTGCCTGAAAACAGCTTTGTTGATAATTTTGGAATGGAATTTGGGAATATTTCTCATCAAGATTTCTCCAATAAGCTCACACTGGAATTGTCCCCAGCTGTCTCGGATATGAACTTGGTAGTGTCATGTAGTACACAGAGTTCAAATGAAGATGGAGAAAGCCCACATGAGATTCTACCTGCACAAACTGGAGCATCTTTTACTTTTCAGATGGATTCTTCTGAGAGCCCCAAATTGGACTCAAATGGTGAAGATGGTGACAGTTATATATCCTGTCTTTTAAATCTAACTCTGGCATCTTCACCTCTCCAAGTCAAGAGAAATTCATGCACAGATCGATCACCACCCCAGATAGACTGTCCAGAATTTGGGAAATTGGCTGAATCAAAATCTTGTGCCGATGATAATAAAGAATATGATGTTGGAGAGTCTTCAAGCAGAAATGTAAACGAGGTTGCTAATTTAGCTGATGCTGAGGCTCCCCCAGATGCTCCAGTTAGAGTAAATGATGTGTTTTGGGAACAGTTTCTTACAGAAAGACCAGGCTGTTCAGACAATGATGACTCAACGTCCACCCACAAAGCAAATGCATATGCTGAGCAAGATGAAGGGCGCTCAGTTCATGAAATCTCTGGAAATGCTATCAATATGGATCAGTTGACACTCTGACCATATTTTGCTGGAGCCTTAGTACTAGTTTTGATACAGGTATGTGAGATTCGAATGATAAACATACTATAATTTGAAACTTGACATAAAGTTTTATGCCTATGTTGTTGTGTAAAATGTGAATAATATCATTTTCTGTGGCCACTGAATCACTCATGTAAGGTACTAGCTAGCTACGTGGCAGTTTTTGTAGATATTCATGCTTAGGATGCTTAGAGCCAGGCTTCTTGTAAACTTCTTTGTGAATAATTGCGTGGCTTTTCTTTGTCGGATAGGTAGTAAAAGTTTGAATGGAATGGAAGGTAGCGGAATGCATTATTTTTTCTTCTGCATTTTGATTGCCACAGAAGTAAAGTGAAGTGTAGATGTGACCCTCACTTCTGCACTGCATTTCTTTTCACTTTTATCTTTTAAGCCAAAAAAAAAAATATCACTCTATGCCATCCTTTCTCAGTTTCTTGTATCATTTTCCCTCCATTACAAATCATTCTATCACTAACCTTTTCATTTGCATAATATGATGAAAAGTTGTGGTAACATCAGCAACCAATACAACTTCTGGAGTAGTGCTACTGTATAAAATGAACAAGATGCATGATACTATTTTCGTTTCGATATTAATTGTTACGTTGATTGACACTGTTTAACACAATAACAACGATGTCTTGGGCCATTATATATATGAAGAGGCTGGAAAACGCAAGTATCTGTTACCTCTTCAAATGTTATTGGTTGAATCTTTTTGTGAGATGTACAACTCCCTTGTTCTGTAAGCTTCAGATGGCGGTGTAATTCATTCATGATTTTTATATCCACTTTTTGATTTTTGAAATTTGATACGGAAACACACTAAACTAAATAGGCATCTTTAGCGGAAATGCATCATTTCATCTTTTACCAATATTAAGTGAATACAGAGACGCTCTTTGCTTGTTCAGTTTGCTCGCTTCGTTTTCACTTCTTCCGGTTATATTCTTTTTCTCGACATATTGATTGGGGAAAGGCTAAATCTCTACCAAAATAATAATAACAACAATCTGTATATATATAAAAAAAAGCTAAGAGTATTTTGTGAAAGTTAGCTTTTAGTGTTTTTCCCTAGTTGAAAAACTTGTTTGACAATAGATAATTTTAACTATTTTTACCAAACACAATAATCTAGCATAATAGCTTTCAATCTCTAACTAATTTTTTTTAACTTTAGTTAGTCTTTTTGACATTCAATTAACTTATCAGTTACTTTTATAGAATTTAACATAAATATGACACGACAAGGAAAGAAAAGGAAGTTCTATTATGCTATTCTTGCAATAGCATATTTTGAAATTTGTCATATTTTTACTCAAATGTTTTGTTGTTCTTAACTATTTCAATTTAACTTTCTTTTTCTTATTCCTTGTCTATTCTTCTTTTTCCTTTTGTTTCAGTTTTCACTGTAGCCTTCTCGGAGAAGTAAAATTGTCGTTTTTCTCCTCTTTTCATCTTAAATAATTTAGTCAGATCTATGATTTATTTTGATTTAGCCTTTTTGTATTTTGTCCCTGTTTGAATGAATTTCATTTTCTTGTGGGGTGGTTTTTGAGTCATAAACCAGTTTTTCTTGGTGTGTAATAGAAGATCTTAGGATGCCCCTTAAATAGTACTCCACTCTTTTTTTCGACGGTAATTTTTTCCATATGAACCACTAAAGCATTATCCCCAATATGTGGTATACCGGTATAAGTTTAGTTACTGATAACTAATTGAAAAAATCGGCTCCAATAAACATAACTTCCACAAAATACTTTGCCATACGCACGATATAATATGTGAATCGAAGAATCTTCAATAACTCACTAACTTCATGAATGAGGTCGAAATCTAAACAGTTATCCATCTCGATCGTCCACTTAAGAAGGTACACAACACAACACTCGTCATCAAGCGAAGAGGCTTAAGATTGACTTTAACCATTTCCTTGAGTGATTCAAGAGGACACAGTTGCTATTACATAAGAAATTCAAATATATTTCGGTAACAAGTGAAGTATAAATCGCAATGGTACGTATGATGATATCTAAATATTTAATTTTTAGATATCAAGTTTAAAGGTAATAAAAAATAGATTAAAACCCTTATTTGATCATTTATAAAAAAAAGATATTATAAGGGATCAAATAAGGGTTTTAACCTAAAAAATATGAGATGTAATGCCTCTTAATAATTGTGCAAATCGCATCATTCGAGTGTATAAGAGAAATAACATCAAGAATAAGAATGAGGCGTTTATTCTATTTTTTTTTTCATTTACAAGATGTAAAACTTTCCATTACAAGTTCTCTATTTGGTTGTGAACCTCAAAAGAGTTAAAAACACACATTCTAAGAATTTCTTTGCATTTTATTGCAATTCTCTAGATGCCATGTTCCCAATAGGAAGAAGGGAGGTCTTTCAAAATCTCATAATCTACTTTCCTCCTCAATTACCCGTATTATTATTTATACTGATTACAAATAAAGAAGAAGAAAAAATTGGTGCCGAAGAAAAAAAAATTGAGAAAATTAAAAAAGAATATATATTTTTTAGTTTGTTAAAATATTAAACTACAACAATTATAATTTATGCGGAAAATGAGGGAAAAAAGGCCACAGACCATAGTACAGCTATTTGTCTATTTGTTTCGGAAAGGTACACTGTACTATATAAACCATAAATAGATTTTCATTGAATAGTAAGACAGATGAAAAACTTGTTCAACGTTCACGGAGAAAGATTCATTAATCAATTGACTAATCAACCATTCACGACTCGACAAGAATACTAATCAAATTCACCCACTGTACACTAATTCTCGGATATAATGATTTCTCCCATTCTGGGTTGATGACAGTAATGATGGCACTAGTATAGTTGACTTGGCTATGACATCTGCTATGTCCTGTGTCTGAGTCCTACCCAATTTATAACCCTCCAACAACCCAATTCACTCTCACAAACTCAACATCAAATTGAAGACAACAGAAGAAAACTTTAAACACAACACAACAATGTCCCAACCCAGATTCAGTCCCACGATCTCCCTCTGTGTGGCACTTGTTCTGTTCCAAATCTGCAATGGACAATCATTTGTGGACCACAATGAAACCATTGTGATGACCAAAAGGGTTTGCACGAAGAGCATTGGGGAGTGCTTGATGGAGTCTGAGATGGATTCTGAGAGCAACAGAAGAGTGCTGGCAATGCAGAAAAAGTACATTAGCTATGACACACTGAAGAGAGATATGGTTCCGTGTGATAGGCCTGGAGCTTCTTACTACAATTGTCATGCAATGCGAGCAAATCCTTATAGTAGAGGCTGTGAGGTAATTACTGCATGTGCAAGAGGTCAAGCCATCAAAACTTAATACATTACAATGGATGATGAAGGAAGGAACGTGGGCCCAGTCTTTCTCAGTTCCTCCTTCTCTTTTGCCCTTTCTTTCATCTAATCCTGTTTTGTTTTTCTTATGAGCTTTCCTCTGTAGTTAAGGTCATGCTTTTACATGTTTTCTGTTTTACTTCTAAACATATATGACCAGCGTATCTATGAAAGTGTTTAATTTTCCTTCCTAGCAGATGTCACATTTTCCTTGGCGTTATCATGCCTAGTTGATCCTAATACAATTGATAGAAATTTGTTGCTACTATTTCAATTTTGTGATGTCATCTTGTTGGAAAGAGGGGCTAGAAAATTATTTGATATTCTTTTTAGAAAAAGGGGGAAAGAATAAGTAAATGTTCATCCATCAACTTACTATAGGAATTAGTTGCAAAGTTTAACTTTTTCTTGAAATTGTCTTGGTAACCATCTAATGCCTTGGTGGGATAGAAAATGTTAAGAGTGATAAATATTTTCCCAGAAGGACGGTTTATTTTCTTATGTTCTCTTGTCTGAAGAAATAAACTTTTGGTTTAATATGGGGCTCTTCATAATGAGACAAGCCGTATACTGCAGAAGACAGCTCCTAAAATAATACCAGATTTTGATTGCAAAGGAAAGGAAGTCAATTTCTTCATGTGGGTATAGACAAAACAAGAACTGGCAAATAAGAACTGCAAGACTACCTTATTTAAAACACTCTCTTATTGCCTGTTTCCACTTTGCCTTGATCTAATTTTAGGTGATTGAGTACTGTTTTGGGATCTTGTGTTTGTATAACCAACTCCTGCAGGTCTTTCATTTCTACTGCTCTTTACTTTCTTCAATGATTCTAGAGCAAGATTTTGTGGATCAAACACAAACCAAGATGCCATGTCTTATTCAACGCAAGACTATAAATACTAATCTTTGTTCACCAATATGCCTCTGCAGTTTGAATAGTTAACCAAGTTATATTCCTTAAATTTGAAGATAAGAATGCAAATCCAAATTCCAAAGTGAAAAGCAAAACTAATCCATCACGGAAGTTATGAGTTGTGCGATAAGAAAGTCTGTATATTATGAAACCAATGTTTATAAAGATGACGTTCTTTTGTGTTAAGATTTTAATTACCACACCTGTGTGTCTCCTGGCTTGTCATTTTAGCACATTGCATCTAGTACTGCTTTTGAGCTTTCTGATTAGGTAAGAAAAGAAGATGCTACTTGCCACCCCTTTCTGGATTATTGTTGTAGGTTGACTGTTGAGAAAATGAAAAACCATTTCTTAGGTGATAAATGTCGCTTTCTTTTTGTTTGATAAAATCTTGTTTGTAACTTCATATTTGATACGTTCAACAGCAGATATTTATTCTTTTTAATGTTTTTCTATTTCTATGTTATTTCGAAGGCCCTATGATTTCTCCCATTCCCCCCTTTAGCTTATTTAACCACATCAGTTCAATGTTGTAGTGTTTATATAACAGTATGACATCCCTTCCGTAATAGAAGTATCAATTCCTTCTTTCAATCTCAATAGCAATTCCATCTAACTAGCTTATGGAATTTCTTTTCCACATGTCATAAAGTTGGATGATATTGCTAGTGGCTATAGTCACAATAATAATTAGAACAGTGCTAAGACTGATGATGTGGGGTTAGAATAATATTAAACTAAGAGAATGTGATCAAATGGGGTGTTATAGATGTATGGTTGTTTATGAATTTGACAATTACACAGGATTGTGGAACTTGTGGTTAAAATAATGGTGATGTCTATCATCATCATTTGTTTTATTTCTTCTGTCATTGTATAAAAAATTTGTTTCTATCGCATTATGATATCCATTTTTTACCTGCATGTGTTTATAATCAGTTACTCATTGTTGATTGTTTTAAATGGTACCATCACTGTAAATAGTTCATAAAGGGGAGGGACCCTATTTTTCACTTGATGGTGGCAGAAGTTTGCTTGAAATGATAGTATATCGTGTCGAAGTTCGAAAGATGTTGAGCAAGTTCAAAAAATTATTCACATTTACTCAACTCTATGTTCCCTGTGTTATTCTTGGTCACTTATGGGATTTTCAAGGGACACTAAGTCCAACTGTTATTAGATTTTAATGTTAAGGGTGTGAGGAGTTTGTTAGGAATAATATGAAAGTGAAATGTGCGGAGGGTTAGTCTGAAAACGCAAGCCTGAATTTTGGCTAAAGTTGTATTCCAAGGAGAAACGCGTTGGGTGGAGCGCATATAGACGCTTCTAATTGCAGTTATGATGATCACTTGACATATTGCATAATTTCATTAAATATATTAATCTCTGAGAAGTGGGTTTGGTGCACTTACCACAAAGGTAGCGTAAAGACCGCTCAATCTCAATGCATAATAATTATCCCAATCTACAAACAAGTCCGAAAGCGAACATACATAGCATTTTATTTTGTGTAAAATGATGCTATATATATGAATTGGCAACATCACTTCAAAGAAGTAGGACTTTCATTGTAAAATCTGTTTCATATATATGCTAATGCGCCTACCACGTTCAACCCCAATAGCCATTTTTATTATTATTATTTTTTCTTTTTTATATTATATTATTGTTAGGGTCTTGGGGAATGCTTTCTAATTCTGTTTCGTTAAACATTATTCACAAATACAATTTTCGTTCTTTGTTTGCTTTGACACGTGGAACATGTGTGTAAAACCAAATTTCCATGTCAACACAATAGAACAACACATAAGCAACAAAATATTACTTTTAGTGGAATGTTTACAAGCTAGCTCACTGAGAATTTATAAATTAATTAAAAACTTAAAACAGATTCACTGAAATTTTTTTAAAAAATAAAATCGTCCAAACGCTATCATATAGAGAAGTTTTTATTTTAAAATGACAAATTTAACTTAAACATCCATGCAAATATAAAATACAAGTATCAAGACATTTAATAAAGTAAAGAAGGATATTGTAATTTACAGTCATTATCTAAGTGGCCATTTTTCTAACATCCTGAAATTCTACCTCGAAATATGTAACATACAACTTAATAAAATGTGAGAAGAAGAAAAAAAGTGCGATACTCTTGGGTTGGAAAACTGAGTTCAGTAATACTGCTTTTCCAGATCAGCATTAGCATTAGCATTCATGGGCTAGTTGTGAGAAGATGTATGACAGAATTAATTTGTTCCACGGCATTGAAACGAATATGAAGGCAACTAATTTTGACCGTTCATGATTTTAATCTTTTTAATGACACCAAACGGGCTTTGGTCAAATTATTGAATCTTATTCAATTGATGCCGTAACATTATCGGAAGGGAACTCTTGATCTGCCAACAACATCTTTCAAATTCAAACCAATTTTATAGTTTTTGGTGGTCATTTTCAGCCACAACATCTTTTAAATAAGAGATCGAAACAACTATTTTATTGATCAATCTTTATGTTCAAATGATAATAGAGTTTGTCATATGATATTTTTAAAAATATCATTAGATTTCACACTCTAATTGATTGACGTGATTGAAACAAAACAATTTCGTAAATATTATACTTGAGTAACGTAGACATCAAAACCCTGTAAAATAAATGGCACCGAAGAATTACAGAATTGGATGTAAAACATGATACATCGTGTCTAATGGGATTTGTCCACTTTTGTAAGTGTTAAGAGTCTTCTAAATAGGGTGTTAAGCACGTGTTCCGTTTCACATTAAATTATTCAGAATCACTTAAAATACCAACTGATTTTACGTAAATTTAACTTCTGCATCCCTATAGAATCAATTTTGTTTAGAAATAAGCAAATGTAGCTATTCATGTGTTTAGTATAAGAGTTTCTACTTCTTATACTACTCCTTGTACTTTTCGGTTTATTCTTCATTGTATTGTTAAGCACCTTTTACATGATATGATATGATATGCCACAAGTTTACTTCAGTAAAAAAAGAAGAATTAACAAACATCAACTTGTGAGAGAGAGTTTAAAACTAACTGAACGTCAATTAAGAAGCATTATTTTTTTGTTTTTTCCCCGCATTTTTGGTTATTCTGTTTCATATATGAAAGATGGACAGAAACGTTCACCAAAAAAGGTAAGAAAAGAAAAAGAGATGGAAAATATAATAGCTGCTAAATCAAAACCCACAGAAGATAGCCAAAGCCAAAGCCTTATTCGAACCCATTGGGTCTGGTCTCATTTGATAGATTAGAGAGAGCCATGGGTAATTTTGCTCTTAACCTAATGGAATTGTGATCCTATGAAAAGAATAAAAAGAAGGTCCTATTCTAGCAGAAATATGGAAAAAGTAAGAGAAGAAAAGTGTAAGAATGAGGGGAAGTGATAGTGATAGCGATAGAATATATTTTCTTTATTCTCGGGGAATGTGATGGGATGAATTAATATCTGTAATGAGCAGGCTTGTATGGACCCTCGACAGGCACACTGATGTAATCTGCCTGCTCTTTGGTAAGCTTGGTGAGGTTAGCTCCAAGCTTGCCAAGGTGGAGAGAAGCGACTTTCTCATCAAGGTGTTTGGGCAAAACATAGACCTTGTTCTCATACTTGCCAGAACCCTTCTCCTTCCACAGTTCAAGCTGAGCAATGACCTGGTTGGTGAAGGAGCAGGACATGACAAAGCTGGGGTGGCCTGTGGCACACCCCAAGTTCATCAAACGCCCCTCCGCCAGCACAATGATCCCTGTTTTGGTCTCAGGGAAGACCCATCGATCGGTTTGAGGCTTGATAGTGATGCGCTTCACACCAGGGTGGGTCTCCAGGCCCAGCATGTCGATTTCGTTGTCGAAGTGGCCAATGTTGCAGACAATGGCGTTGTTCTTCATTTGCTTCATGTGGTTGAGCATGATGATGTCCTTGTTACCGGTGGTGGTGACGAAGATGTCGGCGACGGAGAGAGTTTCCTCGAGGGTGAGAACCTGAAGACCTTCCATGAGAGCCTGAAGGGCACAAATGGGATCGATCTCAGTGACAATGACACGAGCCCCAGCCTGCTTCATGGCGGCAGCACAACCCTTGCCAACATCTCCATAGCCGCACACAACGGCAACCTTTCCGGCAATCATCACGTCGGTGGCTCTCATCAATCCATCGGGAAGCGAGTGACGGCATCCATACAGGTTATCAAACTGTAATAACAAGTTATACATTCACATGGACATGCATCATTATATCTATTTATTATACGTTCACATTCACATGCATCATATATAGATTACTATAGAATGAATCACATTCACATGCATTACCTTGCTCTTGGTGACGGAGTCATTGACATTGATGGCGGGGAACAAGAGGGAGCCATTGGCCTGCATCTGGTAGAGCCTCTTCACGCCGGTGGTGGTTTCTTCCGAAACTCCCACCAGTCTCTCCTTCATCTTGTGGTACCTCTTCGGATCGCTCTTCAACCCGTCCTTGATCAGCGTCAGCACGATCTGGAACTCCGCATTGTCCGAGGAAGCCGGATCCGGGAGTTTCCCGCTCTTCTCGAACTCCTGCTCCGCCTTCACGCCCTCGTGGATCAGCAGCGTGGTGTCGCCGCCGTCGTCCACGATAAGGTCGGGGCCGCCGCCGGGGCCCCAGTCGAGGGCGCGCTCGGGGCCCCACCAGTACTCCTGCAGCGTCTCGCCCTTCCAGGCGAAGACGGCGGCGCTGTCGCGGGCGGTGGCGGCGGCGGCGTGGTCCTGCGTGGAGAAGATGTTGCAGGAGCACCAGCGGACCTCGGCGCCGAGCGCTGTGAGCGTCTCGATGAGGACGGCGGTTTGGATGGTCATGTGGAGGGAGCCGGTGATCCTGGCGCCCTTGAAGGGCTGCGATGGGCCGTACTCTGTCCGGCAGGCCATGAGGCCCGGCATTTCGACCTCTGCGAGTTGGAGCTCCATGCGGCCGAAGTCAGCCTGCGACATGTCCTTCACCTTGTACTCCCTTCCACTGGACGTTTTCTCCACCAACAACGCCATCTCTCTTCTTACTGTGTTTGAGGCTGCAGCTTAGCTTATGGCCTGGCACGATGTTTCCTACTCTCTCCGTTGCTTTAAATAGTTTCCATTGCATACAAGTGGACGCTGCTCCTTCTTCTTTGGCACGTACTATTACTATATTTGTCGCAGCTGTTTTGTTCCAAGGCACATCCAACAACAGTCACCAACCTCCGATCGTGACTGCGCGGTTGGTGCCTCTCAGATTGACTAAGTATTCACTCCAACACCCCATGCCACTTCACCATTTATTTCTATTAATAATACTGTTTTCAATTTTATTATAATCACAAATCTTAAAAATGAGAGATTAATACCTTAGAGCTGTCAAAATAGGTCAACTCGGCCATGTGAACCGACCTATCTTAACCTACTTTAAAAATGGACCAATTTAACCTAACTTATTTTTTATTTTTTCAAAAAATTTCTGGTCCAGCCTGACCCATCACGGGTTGGTGGGTTATACGACCCAAACTCACCAGCCACCACGTTCATTTCTATTAATAATACTATGTTTTCAAATTTTATAATTATCATCACTGTTAATAATGATATTTAGGGTTTAGGGGTGCCAATATTACACCCCTAAATTTATTTACCTAAATACTATTTTTTTTTCTTGTTTTTATGAAAATATTTTTCTCTAGTCATATAGAATGAAATGAACTCCTATAGCACTGGTATGTCTTCGTTCCGTCGGTGGGTGTTGCAAACATGCTTAATTGGAACCTTGCTCTAACTTGCTTAAATATGAATCATTACATGATTCATGATGCTTCTATGCTTGATTATATATTTTTAGTTCAGATAATTTAATTTACTTGTAATTTTAGTTTTATAGTTTTAAATGTTAATATTTATTTTTCTTTTATTAATTATTAAAAATTTATAAATTTTATTTAACAATGAACACAAAACATAACACGAAATCAAAATTTTTCTAAAAACATGTGAAATCAATTTAATTTGATTTAAATATTATAAATGTAGATAAAATATTTAAAAATAACATATAAAAAGTGAAAGAAGTTATTTAATTATTTTAAAAATATTGAAAAACTTATATGATTTTTATAAATCAATATTCCATTAAACATCCATTACATTTTTTTCATTATTTGATAATATTTATATTAAAAACTCAATTTTAATAGGGGGAAATTAAAAAATAAATACAAACAATTAAGAAAAAAACTAAAAAAAATCACATATAAATTAATGGATATCTTTTAAAACGTTCATTATAATCTTTTATCTCTTAAATTTGGACCAATTAAGTCATTTTGAAACAATGATTATTTTTAATTTTGAGAATTAATTTTAAATTATTTTTTAACTGATTCCAATACTTGAAATTAATCACATTAGATTCACTTATATAAAAATTAATGAACTCAACTAAATTTCAAATAAAAAAATATTACAAATATGATAAAATTATTAAAATTTTAAAAATTAAATTATATATTTTTTTAATTACTTATAAGACATGTTTTTCACACAATTTTCATTATATTATAAATTTCATGGATTCTAACGTCAATTAAATTTTATAATTTTATATAATAAAACCTATTATTACAAGTTTCATGTTCTGAATTAATTGAAAATTAATTCAAATTATGTCATAAAATTAAAAAGTTATTATTGTAAAAGAACAAATTGATCTAAATATAAAATATAAATAATCAAGATAAATATTTTAAAAAATAAAAAAAGTTAAAAATAAAGATAAAGGAGAAAAAGAAAATTCAGCCTAAATTAATTTATAAAACTAAAAAACAATTAAATTATTCTTATATTGTGAATGAGACTGAATGTAAACGGGCAGAGAAATGTAAGATTGACAAAATGCAAGAATGTTGAAATTTAAAAAGTAAAAGCTGAGTCGTGGATCTTAGGCTTAGCTACCCAACTTTATACATATCAAAAGGTAGGCCCACTAATATGTTTGTCGGTGATCTGGTAAACTGTTGCTCAAATTTTAAAATCTGATTACTTCTCCTATTTCTTTATAATTATAGATTTTTTTGAAAATTTATTTATTATTTTTAACATTTAGATAGTATTAACTACTTTATTTATTAAAACTGAAGTAATGATCAAAAACAGAAAAAATACTTTATTTATTGTATTCTTACCTTTTATTTTATTTTAACAGGGCAGCTAGCAAAATACTTGTTTCTACAAATACCCACAATTTGAAAATTAACCTACGAACTTTTTTTTTCCCAAAAAATTGTTTTAAAAATTAACGTGTAATGCGATAATGTCTAGATATAAACTACATCACCATATATGATGGAAGATCTATTTTTTATCTTAAATTTTATGAAAAATGGAATTAAGAAATGTATTTAAAAAGTGAAACTAAATTCAACCACATTTGATCGGCTTTGTTTTTTACAAATCAAGGGTAATTTCTTTTCAAAATTTCCAAATAGGCAAGTTTTTTTTATAAAAAAAATCATTTTAGATTAACCAGAGTTTTAATTAATTTTGAAATAAAAAAATTAAAATTAAATAAAAGTAATATATATGAAACACAATTTTAATTTATTCATTTTAGATTTTTTTTAAAAAATTACCCATTTTGAAAATATTTGAAAAAATTTATCCCTCAAAGGTAAAAAAGTGCATTTTATCCTGTAAATTTATATCATTAGTAAAAAAGAATATATTATTTGGAGTTCATATTATTCTTACCCTTTTACTTTTTAACTAATCTGTTTAATTACTTTTTTACCTTTTAACTTATTTATTTAACTATCCCACTATTTTGAAGTGAACCACACACTTACTTAATTTCATGATTATTATTTTATTTTATTATGGCATCCGTGTCTCATTTTCACGTGTAAATATAAAGAGTTATAATTGGTAATTCCAATTTTCAAGTCATTAAAGTGAAGGAAAGCTTGAGCATGAATATGTACCCAAAAAAAAAAGAAAAAAAAAGCGTGAGCATGAATTGCAGTGGGGTTGGTGAGAATAAAATGACCATGAGACCCTCACCAACCCAGCCTTCTTTTTTCAATTGACAATAAGCCACCAACTACACTACAATGGAGTCAGCAAAGTGGGAACACAGAAACAAAGAAGGTTAACCACAGTTTTTGGTTACATGCCAAATAATATGGACATTACACGCAGATTTGCAGGTATATGCGTATGGAAATGTGACAAATTTATCAATGGATTCATCTTTTGCCAAGTAAATAAAGCATAGGTTAATGTATATACTTCCAAATTTTATTCTATGCTTTGAGAACAAATCAACCTCACGAAACCATGTTGGTAAATGGTAAGGGCACGTGTAACAATTTTTTTTTATTTTTATATATATATATAACATATAACTTATTTTTGTCGAATCTGATTTAAAAAAATTACCGTCCAAAAGACACTTATTAATTCTGAATTATTTTAAAAAAATAATAAATAATAAAAATTATATAATAATATGTGATTATTAAAACTACAGATAATTATGGAATGAACTTTACATAACAAAATAAAAAAAAACTTATAAAAAAAATAGTTATAATAATAGAATTAGAAAAAACTGTGTATACAAAAAAGTCTAGCCTACTTTATTATAATTATAGATAAAGTAATATTTCAGTTTGCAACTTTATGTTGATGTCAAGAATTAAATCAAATATTTGGTTAAAGAGGAAACATTTGAGTTAATGATCTTGGTAGGTATAATGTAGATAAGTGAAAACATTTGAGTTAATAATTTAGTTTGTTATAGTTATTTTGATATAGATATTTAAAAACATAAAAGATTTAAGAAGGGGTAGAATGGTACATTAAGATAGTGTTAAGTGGGTTTAAATGGGAGATGAGAAGAGAGAGAGGAGTGCGGAAGTAGTAGTTTGGTCTTTGGTGTGAAGTGAATAGAAAAAAGAATGGAAGCAGTGAGGGAGTGGGGAAACAGGGCGTTGGCGAGTGTGGACCCAGAAATCCACGACCTCATTGAGAAGGAGAAGCGCCGTCAATGGCGTGGAATAGAGCTAATAGCCTCAGAGAATTTCACCTCCTTCGCCGTAATAGAGGCCTTGGGGAGTGCCCTCACCAACAAGTACTCCGAGGGCATGCCCGGTAACCGCTACTACGGCGGCAACGAGTTCATCGATCAGATCGAGAACCTCTGCCGTTCCCGCGCCCTCCAGGTCTTCCACCTCGACCCCGCCGCATGGGGCGTCAACGTCCAGCCTTACTCCGGCTCTCCGGCCAACTTCGCCGCCTACACGGCGGTCCTCCAGCCCCACGACCGCATCATGGGCCTGGATCTGCCCTCCGGCGGCCACCTCACCCACGGCTACTACACCTCCGGCGGGAAGAAGATATCGGCCACCTCCATTTACTTCGAGAGTCTTCCTTACAAAGTGAACTCCTCCACGGGATTCATCGACTACGAGAGGTTGGAGGAGAAGGCGTTGGATTTCAGGCCCAAACTTATAATCTGCGGTGGCAGTGCGTACCCTAGGGATTGGGACTATGCCAGGTTCAGACAGGTTGCTGATAAGTGCGGCGCTCTTTTGCTCTGTGACATGGCTCACATCAGTGGTCTCGTGGCAGCTCAGGTACTTAACGTAACTTGTACTATTTTTCTTACAAACTGCATGGATCTGATGTGATGGTGATGGTGATGGTGATGCAGGAAGCTAATAATCCGTTTGAGTACTGTGACATTGTGACTACGACGACGCACAAGAGTCTGAGGGGGCCTAGGGCGGGTATGATCTTCTACCGGAAGGGGCCTAAGCCGCCGAAGAAGGGGCAGCCGGAGAATGCAGTTTATGATTTTGAGGATAAAATAAACTTTGCGGTGTTTCCTTCGCTTCAGGGGGGTCCTCACAATCACCAGATTGGGGCACTTGCGGTGGCACTGAAGCAGGCTCTGACGCCGGGATTCAAGGCGTATGCGAAGCAGGTTAAGGCCAATGCAGCTGCGCTTGGAAGCTACTTGATGAGCAAGGGGTACAGTCTTGTCACTGGAGGAACTGAGAATCATCTTGTCTTGTGGGATCTCCGTCCCCTTGGCCTGACCGGCAATAAGGTCGAGAAGCTTTGTGACCTCTGCCACATTACTGTCAACAAAAATGCTGTTTTTGGTGATAGCAGTGCCTTGGCCCCTGGAGGAGTACGGATTGGTAAGAACTAACAACAAATACCGTACATGTCAAATCTGCATGTTTCTTTCTTTTTTATGACTCCAGTTTCTCATCTGTTAACAGGTGCCCCAGCCATGACTTCAAGGGGCTTGCTTGAGAAGGACTTTGAGCAGATCGGGGAGTTTCTTCACCGTGCAGTCACTCTCACACTGGAGATCCAGAAAGAGCATGGAAAACTTTTGAAGGATTTCAACAAAGGCCTAGTCAACAATAAAGCTATTGAAGATCTCAAAGCTGATGTTGAGAAATTTGCAGCTTCCTTCGATATGCCCGGTTTCCTAGTATCTGAGTTGAAGTACAAGGACTAGGTTCAAAATACACCTATCCTCTCATCATGTTTTAATTCCTGCGCTAGATGGGGGAAATGAAGATGAAGAAAACAAATGTTCTATCACGGATATCACATAGGCTAGCTTATTGGCTTTTTGATTCAATTTTAAGTTCATTTGTCTGTTACTTTTTGTATGCTGATGTTATATTTTCTTAATAACAAATGAAATATTGTGCGTTTCCTTAGGGAGATTTATTGCTTATTCGAAGGTGGAGAAAAATGTATGCCAATGTCTTGGAGAGCTTTTGTTTATTTTGAATAGCCATACAAATTATCCTGTGAAAAATAATAAAATGACCCTGTTTTGTTTTCATATCACTATTCTGATTTACTGGCCTACAATAACGGGGACCATCCATGCAATAAATCGACCAAATACGTAAAACCACCGCTAAACAAAAAATTCTTGTACAAATTGCGGTCATACTTCAGCTTTAAAATTTCTTAATTAACTAGGATCAGGCCACGTATCTACAGCATAAATGATTTTAAATGATTTGAAGGGATGCCAAAGGTTGAATGCTAAAGGTTTTGAAAGGTTTTGCATTCCGCCAGTCCACCGACAAACAATTTGGATGAGTAACTACCAACCATATAAAATCCGTCCTTCAGTCAAATATCTCCTGACTTTCGATTATACTATGCTGACTGAAAAGGTGAGATAGAAAATGTTAAGGAAGAACTGTAAAGTGTTCAGAATTTATCACTCGGTAATAATAAATAAAAGCAGTGAATAAGTGACACAGGAGTGACATGAAAAACAAACGAAACAGAAGTATTGTTGTTCTTACAGGTCATCTTTGGCGACACGATAATATCTCTCTGCATGCTGGCGCTGACCAATCAGTTGAGCAAAACGCTCATCATGAGTGATTACAATTAGCTGAAAATTTTCCTGGCCTTTCCTGTCCTCCATGATCCTTCATTTTAGGGCAGATAACACATAACATCACGTTAATGCGTAATTAATTCATTACTATTAATTTAATCAGAACTGGGCAATCTATTCGCACCTTACGAGAGCTGCAGCCAGACTTTCGGCATTTGGTCCATCTAAATTTGTGGTAGGTTCATCCAGTGCGAGTATTCCACAATTGAGACAAAACGTTTCAGCTAAAGCCAACCGTATGATAAGAGATGCCAGAACCTGTAACCTCACAGTTAAGTCAAGCTTATCTGTTTATATTTTTAATTCAAAAAAAGGGAATACTAGACATGAATTTCCCCAGTGGCAACATTATTCAAATGGGTTGAACTGAACTAACAGTAGTTCAATTAAACTTAACAAAACTAGAAAATAGTTTAGAAAAACTAAATTAACTATTTTCTAGTTTGATAAACTATAATTCTAAAATTTCAATGAACTAAACTAAAATAGTTCAATTACTCGAGTTAGAGTTAATTGGCTACACGGTGATTTTATGCTCGCGCATGTTAAAAGTAATAATAATACAAAATACCAAAATGACCTCCGATGGTATAAAATCAAAATGTCGTAATGAATAAATACATTTTGATTAAAATTAAAATAAATTGACAATTTGTATTCATGAATTAAATTTTGAATATAAAAAATTGTTTTTATTATTTTTTAAGTTTAGCATGTGAAAGATTAACTAATACGAATTTTATAAATTTTATGTGTATGTATACATAAATATACCTTCATGACTAAAACACGTGCAAAATGTAAATTCCTTGTTTTTAGTGAGTAAAATGTAAATTCTAAATGATTATTAAAATAATAAATATACTTTACCAATTTATTTTATGAAAGCAACCTAGAACAATAAGTTTATTAGTTATTTATCTCATTTATAAGAGATTTTCAGAAAACTAAAAATAAGTAAACAAAGAAAAATCTAAAAAAGATTGATAATTATACAGTAGTTAGAATTTAATATCTCATTACATTAAAATTATGTAATTTCCTAAATATTTATATATATTTTAATCTTAATAATCCATTTCTCAAAAAAAATCTTAATGATCCATAATGAGATTTAATAATTAATAATTTAATATTTATTGTCCCGCTACAGTTCAAGTAAAATAGGCTTTTCGTTACAAAGTTATTAAAGTAGTCTTGTCATTTGTATTTAGTTATTTACAACGACGCAAAATAGTATAAAAGTATAAAATTGTAACTTGTGACGTTAAAAAAGAACAAAAAAAAAAATTAAAACAGAGCAGAAGATGCGCGAGTGCTGAACCCCAGTACCCACTGCCCACATGTTCCAACCCAACACTCACATTTTTTTATCAGTGCATCAGCCTATCTTAGTTTTTTTAAAATAATTAGTTTAGTTTTTCTTTTTATTTAGTTTAATTACCTATTAGTTTAGTTTTAAATAGTGTTATTTGAACACCCCTAGGCAACATACCTTCTGACCTGCACTACATCTTCCTCTCATCTCCAACTCTGCATCTCCAGTTTGCATGAGAACCTATATGGAATGCAAAAGAACAATATCTCAGATTTTACGAGGAAATTAGACAGCTTTTGAAGGAATAAATGTTTCAATATAATGTCAGACCTTGTAACTGTAAGAACGAGTCCCTGCACCTTCGGAGTCTGAATGAATACTAATGTAGTCTATATCTTGTCCTCGATAAGTTTGCTGCCATAATTCCCTTATAATTTTGTTGATTTCTTCCATTTTCATTGCGTGAAAGCGCATCAATGCTCTGAAAGATGAATAGGTAACACCGGAGTGACATGAAAACAAAGAATACAATCTTAACAATGTATTGAACATCACCAAATTTTAAGAAGCTGACTTATCAAGTGCATTGTAGTATTTATCCAGATCCTTGTTGGCCATTTCAGTTGTCTGAAAAGAAAAGTTGACTTGTCAACAATATAAAGCAGAGAATTAAAGAAAGCATTCAACTGCAGTATCACACATGATTACACCTTAAGCTGGATAAGCTGATCAAAGTATCGCTTATCTATGTCCTTGTATTGAGCCTGCTTAAGATCAACTTTATTTTTGGAAATATTGCTTTGGTAAACAGACATTGTTCCATGGCACCTGTTCATCTGTCAACCAGTTACGGGTATATATCCAAAAAAGAGAGAAATAAGGTTTTCAGCTCTAGATTAGAAGCAATAACATATAACTAACGAAGATACAAATATAGAATTGGTACTTGACTGATTTACTCAAGCTTGCAAGCATAGATGTAAGATTCAGGAATTTGTAAATACCTCTGAAAGAAGTCTCTCCCTCTCCTGTTTTAGTTTCTGGAGTTCAGTTTCAACCGGAGAAATCCCACCAGCCTTCAGTATATTTTCTTCTAGTGTTTCAATTTCATGTGTTAGCTCATCTACTTCAGCCTTTGTTTTCCTATAATTTAAGTTGTCCTCAATATTTCTTTTTAATTGATCTTGATTTCGTATCAAATCTTTACTTTTGTTTAGTTCAGCTGAAATTTCCTGCTTCCTGGTATCACAACTTTGAAGTTGAGATTCTGATAGAGATTTCTTTTCCTGCAGCTCCTTCAACCTGTCTCCTTTCTTTAACTCAGAATACCTAATCTAACAAAACATATGTTAAAGAAATTTGGAGTCTTAAAAACTAACATTTTTCAAGCAGATAAACTTACTCTTTAATCTTGGAATTCATTTTAAAAATTGCATCAGCTTCTTGTTGATAAGTTCTCTTTTGTTCAGCCAGATTCTCATACTCGCGACTGAGTCTAATTTTCAGTTCATTATGGTCAGCAAGTAATTTATCTTTCTCCTTGGATAAAGGTCTGAGAGCTTCTGCCAAATGCTGCAAATACACAAATTTTGGGTAATACTATGTATTTTGATGTGATAAAGAGAGACTACTAATAAATTTGAATTTTTTTTATTGAAGTAAAGGTTTTTGAAGAAAAGGGTGTCTTAATATTTTTTTTAATGTAAATAAACACAAACACAGCACACCGAATCTGAGAATGAACTAAAAACAAGAGTATGTACCAATCAGCAAGCTTGAGAACTTTGAAAAAGAGGCAATTCCTTTAGGGGGGGGGGGGAGAGCTGCTTAATATCTTCATAATATACACAATAACTGATAACAGCATGTGTTTTGAGAGCATTAATCATTTTATTAAATTTTCTTTTGAAAAATGTGTATAAGGAGCTTATCCTATATTCCTATATTTCTCTTTCCCTTTATATATACATGGAAAGGAGTAAGAAGGCCATTACACTTGCTTATATATATATATATATATAAATTAGACACCTTCTCATCAAGATCAACTTGGGTCTTTTCTTCAGTTAACCGTTCCAATTCTTCTTCTAATCTTTTAACATTTTCCAATATGGCAGTTGCTTTCACTTTTTCCTCCCTTAGACTGTGCCACCGTAATCGAATATTTGATAGATCATTCTCCATATGCCTTTCTTCATCCCTCAGCCTCTCCAATTCAGATTGCAAATTGTCCCTTGTAACCAGGATATGCAAGGAAATAATGATACGAATAAGAAAAATAAAACAAATCTCATAGTAAATAAGTGCACTCAAGGAATAGGAGATGATGCTGAGACGAAATTCAATTATCATAATGATCTAGATTGTAAAATTGTCCACGTTAGTAAATAGTAAAAATTAACTTGAGTTATTTACTTTGTTCTCTGCAATGTGTTAAGCTCAAATTGAATCTCCTCCAGAGTCCTCACTCCCTGTCCTCGAAAATCAAGCTTATATTCTAATTCCTCAACTTCCTTTTGCAAATGTTGAATTTCTAGGAAAAGCCGGTCAGCATTTTCAACAGGTTGCACCAATGTCTCAACCAAATCCTTGTCTGTCTTTATTTGTGCTAAAACACCTAAAACCTGAAAATTGCAGGATTTGTATAATGCAAAACAAGTTAACACCAAGAGACAAAAAAAGGGGGAGAAACAGATAATACTAAGCAATTGATAAAAAATAATAATCATCATCCACCAAAACAAAAATTTAAGGAAGGAAGCAATGAGTATGTAGGGATCCAACTGTCTACTTAAAATAATTTTCCAGGAAATGTTAAAAAGAAATTATGATAATTACATCGTCAAGAGCCTGAGATTTGTCATCCATCTCTTCTTTAAGTTGTTGAAGTTCCTTTTCGGCATTTGGAATTGTCTCCTTGCCAAGTTTAACATAATCTTCATAAACCAAACGAAGCTTATCCAGCTGCTGATAATGAGACTCTGCATTTGAGGACTCCACAGCGAGAACTTTCATATGCTCAGCTGAACTAGCAGCCTTCACTCTTTGCTGTAATTAAAGGAAAAAAGAGAAAGGCCAATTCAAAACAAAAAAAAAAATATAAAGTACTTGCTCAAAGCCAATGTATAATATTAATATCAGTATGTTATAATAGGATGTGAAATGTACCAACCTTCTTGACAAAATCGTCTTCTTCTTCTGAAGAGAAGGAGCGCTCACAGCAAGGACAAACATGATGAGCTCTTGCAACCCTTTCAAAAGGATCAAACATTTGCCGCATACCATCAGCAATATTATATTTGCTGCAAGCAATCACCAGACAAAGTATTAGTACATAGGAGACCAACACAAATAGAAGATGTCATGAATGTGGTCTGGCACAAATTGACCTTCTCTGGACTTCTCTTTTCTCCTTGGCAGACTCTAAAACTTTGAGATAAGAATCAATTCCAGAACATTGCTGATCCAAAGACTGAAGCTTGGATTCAATAAATCTCTTTCTTGCTGTAAGAAAATTATTTAAATTTAAATGGTTCAAAACTTTGTATTCAGTAATTCAGCAAGGTGAAAAGAAAGAAAGCACACTAGACTATTGGGCAAAGGAGAAGCAGCATAAAGAAATAAAAACATCATTTGGGCATCATCAGCCATATCAAGAGAGATACAAAATGCAAAACTATGCAATGGCTATTTATTCCAAACTATTATCACATTATTGATATACAAATCCATATGACTTTCAAAATCACTGAAACAAATCCATATAGACATTAAACCTTACTAACCCAAACTTCATGGGCTTTCATAGTTGATTTGCTAAAAACTCAAGGTAGATGATTTGCACCATTTTTTTGTGAATATCTAATTTCTTTTAATCTTGGAGCCAGTTTAACATACACTTTTTTAACTTGATTCCTACACTTTTAATATAACTCTAATAGATAACAAAACAATAAACATGGTAAGGACCATATTGGGAGTGATTTTACATGAGGACTATATTGAAAACTTTTTTCTTTTATTGTATATGAACTAAATTAAATAAGAGTGCCACATATATGGGGAAAAATATTTTAAAACAAGAAAAATTTGTCGATGTGTGTCTACCAAACATTTATATTACCTATGAACCATTACAACATCACAGATGCAGAACTCAACATTGATTTCACTCAAAAACTACAATATTTATACTCAACTTCTTTGAATGATAGATAGCACTTACATTCCAAATCCTTGTGGTGTTTGGATAGGTTATTATTAACCTCTTGTATTTTCATCTGCAACATATTGACTTCTTTCTCAGCTTCACGGTATTTGGCATTCAGATCATCAAATTCAGCTCCAACAGCCCTGCACCACAAAAAATAAAAATACATGATATTTTGTGATCTACATTGTATTCTTACCCAACGTCAAACTCCTTCACTCACACTTGTCATTCCAAAAATATGATAAATCTGACATTGGCTCATCCTCAACAGTCAAAATATGATCTTGGCTCTGCGAATATTCTAATACAATAAACCTAACCCCATGGCTTTCCTGATGCAATAAAAAAAATCAGTCCTATAATCTCCACATGGATGTCCTAATTTGGGTGTGAAAGATGTGTTAAGATCCCACGTTGACTATAGATATGGCCAAAGTAAAGGTTATAAAGGTTTGGACAAGCCTTACCTTATGATTCAAGCGCTAGTACTAAAACTCTACAAGATGTAAACAATAAAAGAAAAGATTTCCCCAACCTTAATGCTTGTGTAACTTCCTTCTTCACATCCTTGTCAAGAGGGACCCTCCCTTTCAGCACCTTTCTTATTTTGTCCTTTTGATCATCAATTCTGTAAAGAAGAATAAACAGATGATCACCAACTTCCAAATATATAATTCTGAAAATTAAATGCAAAAAGTAAAGAAGATAAAAGGAAAATGGTTCTACATCTTTTTATGTTTCTTCTTCTGATTTTCTAATTCTGCCTTCTTATAAGATATCTTAACTCTGTTCTCTGAATCAGAAGACATGACCTCCTTCTCTCGATTGACAGCCTTAATCTTTTGATCTACACTATATATCTCATTTTGCAACTGACGTATATTTGGTTCAAATTGTCTTTCATCAAGTTGGTTTGCCTTCCTCTCAACCTCCTTTCCCTGCAAGCATTACTCAAAATTATGTTAATCATATTAAGGTTATAAATTACTAAACAACACAAAAGAGCAGGTTGCCCTTACCAAATTTCTTTCTCTTTCATCTATATGAGAGAAGTTTAAATTAGGTATTTCAAGTTCAGATTTATCAAGCTCATTTTTCTTCTCTTCAATTCGCTTCAAAATGCCACTCTGCATACATAACAAGGTATTGACACTGTACAATTAAGATAAAGACAATCAACAAGAATTGTATGCATTGAAACATCAAACCTTGATCTCTGTCTTAGCCTTTTTTTCAGCCTCAGTATCTTTCCAACGGTCATTTGCATTCATGTAGCAATCCCATGCCATATTGAGTTCATTGTCATTCGCTTTCTGCACAAAAGAAGCAAAATAACAGTCAATAGTCACGTTTTCTTCTATTTGATATGGTGAAAATACTTTAAAAATTTGGGCAAGCACATTCTTTAAATAAGAAAACAAAGTCACTAGAGTGGATGGAAGAAAGAAATAAGTAAAGTAGTATGTATAGACACAATATCCTTGCTAAAGGAAAACCCTATAAAAAAAAAATCAAATGGGCAAAGCATGCCAATCTCTCCGTATATCCAGCAAACAAATCATCTACAATACTGCCAATAAAATACCACAAAGAAGACAAGAAGATCCCTTTTCTGAACTATTAAGTAACAGCAAGAAATTATCCTTGAAAATAATGCCACTTCTCAGTTTGTCTCCAATCAGACACCTAAAAGTGAACATACAGCATAAAACAAATGAGAGAACAGAAAAACTACCTTTTTATCACCCAGATCCTTCTCAAGATCTGCCAACCTCAATTTTACACGATTAGTGAGGTTTAAAACAACCTCATCACTGAATGGTGACTTTGGAAGAGATCCTAAATTATATCTAGCAAAAAGACTCTGAATGGAGGAATCACGTTCATTCTTCAAAGACAAGTGAGCCTGCAGTTCAAATTAGAGATAAAATTACAAGAACATTATGCAAAACTAGATGTCACTATAGGAAGCTTGTGTATCAATTCATTTACATCTGCTTCATTTTGTAGCTTGCTAATCTCATGGATGAAATGAGGAATGGTCTTCTGAAGGATGGAACTTTTATCATCAGTGTCAGTCCACTCTCTTTCCAGCCTTTTTACTTTTGCTTCTAAAATTGCAATTCTTTCTTCAAACTTGGTCTTCCATTCCATCAACTCCTCATCAGTGTCTAATAAAATATAATATGCATAAGAAACCATTAGAAACTTTCAAACACATGGGGCATATCTGTGTAAATCCATTAGGAATGAAACTATAACAATATAGAAAGGGATAAAGAAATCAAAACTGTCTCAATGTTGGTAATACATGTATATGTTCCACACTTACACACCTTCATTCTCCTCGGGAAGAGCTGCATATTGTTTCTGTTGTTCCTTAAACAGAGTGCTTCGTTGAGCAGTTTTTGTTGATATCTGCTCTTGCAGCTTCCGCAAATCTTGAATTGTTTTCTCCGCATGACGAATTTTATCATCCAATTTTTTAATATTCCCATCCAACTGTTGCACTTGACATTTTACAGACTCTGTTTTCTCTTGATCCTGTGCAATGCTTTCCCGAAGCTACAGGAAAACAAAATTAAATAATTAGGATTTATTTTTCTTTTAGAATGGCCCAAAAATGAAAATTACAGTAGGGCAAAATGAGCTCATTAAAGCGGAAAAATTTACAAGAATGTATTCCTCCATTAAAACAAGAGAAATGCGTATGGTCATCCCCCATAGGCCAAAAAATAAAAGTGTCAAAATAATGAGAATACCAGCTACTACACAAGTAGTGAAAATTTGCTCCATTAAAGTAAAACAAAAGAGCACATGTTTTCAAACACTTTTAGTGATTCTGCAGATTTCAAGATTATTATCCTAAAGAGGGAAAGTGAGAAAATGTAATGAACAAACTTTACATACTTATAGCGTTGTCATATTTTGGAAAAGGAAAGTGACCTTGTAAGCAGCATCTTTGAGAGTCTGAAGATTTTCCAGTTTCAGCTTATAAGTCTTTATCTCGTGACCCTGCTCCTTGTGAAGTTTCTTTATAACTTCCAGTGCCTTGGTGTATCTACTCAGTAAGAAACATACATTCATTCAGGTGCTAGTAACCGCAAGTCATGAATAAACAACGGAGAATTGGGATAGAGAGCTACCGAGTTGCCGAAAAAATATCGTCGAACTTCTTCTTCAAGGTGGAAGGATCCTGGAGTGGCCAGTTGGCTTCGTCTTGGTGAACGAATATAACATTTTCGAGAATGGCCTTGGAAACGCCCATGAGCGCGGGAATCTCTCGATCCATGTCAGCGCATCTATAGCTGAGGCAAACTTTCTGACAAACAGAGACAATGCATAAGAAAGTTAATTGACAGAAACAAGAGGGTGAACAAGTAGAAGTAGAAGTACCTCGCCTGTGTGAGGATTAATAGTTTGAAGCACACTCTCTATTGCCTTGTATTCCATTTTCGAAGCCTTTTGCGTCAGCTGAAACGACCTCACGCAAACGACATCTTTGCCGGCGGCCGTTTTAAATCGGAGCTTAATCTGTCCCTTCGTTTCGGTTTCTCCTGCAACCTTACCGATTCCAAATAAACAAACAAACAATCGCTGAGGTGAGGCAAGTGATTATTAATCGATAAAACGAAAAAGCTAGAAAAGCATAAATGAGAGATTGAACTTACCTTGGGGTCGTGAATGAAGCTGTGGCCAGACCTGGCGTTAGGAGGCAACTCACCTGTGCATGAAAGTTTCAAACACTCTATGATCGTCTGCTTATTCAAGTAAAGCAAAGAAAAGCATATGAGAGGAGAGAATTGATAGAGTTAGTAACGGAATGAGAAGATGAAGAATAACGATCATACGGTTTTGCCAGCACCATTAGGACCGACAATTAGGGTTAATGGCTTAAAGAAGGTGATGACGTTCTTATTCTCTGGGTCGAAGCTCCGAATCCCCTTAATCAACATTTTATCAACGGTACTCATCTTCACTATCCCTCTCAGTCTCAGTCCCAGTCCCAGTCCCAGTCCCAGTCCCAGTCCCAGTCCCGCCCTTTTTCGGTTTTGTTACAGAAAAACTCGCTCCATTCAACTCACTCAACTCAGCGCCATTTCTTTCTTTCTCCGCTCAAAACAATTTATATATTTTGGACCGGACCAGTATGAGCCCAAATCCAATCCAAATAAATGGCTTTTTTAGGTGTGATTGATTTAAGAAAATATTTTTTTATTTTTATTTTAAAAAATAATTTTCATTTTTTAAATTTGAAAAGCATGTTTAATCTGGCTATTTTCAAAAAAAGTTTATAAAATATTTTTGATATAAAATTTATGATCAAATTTATTTTTTATATAAATGAATTAAAATAATATTTTATTTTATAATTTTTTTAATTTATTTTATATTTATTCTCATTTAAATACTATCATCCTCTCAGCAATTTTACTTTGAAGTGTATAAATATTTCTTATATTTTTTATCAAATAAATAATTTATTATTTAACAAGTAGTAATTATATATCAAAATAAAATAAATATTTTATCTTTATAAACAAATATATATATATATATGTATTATATTTATCTTAAAATATAATA